AAATGTGTATTTAACGATGACTTGTACAAGAAATTCCACACTTTCCGTTGCGTTTGGGACAAGTGTGAGTCCATGTGCACAGTGTACAAAGCAGCACATATGTTTCGGTGTCCAGTGGGAACTCTGGCTTTGCCAGGTGAGAGTCACGCAATGTTGATGACGAGTCCCCACCTCCCTCCTCCCATACGGTGTCCTGGTTTTGACAAACGCAAATCTGGTCACACTAACCTGTATTCACCTGAGTCATGTCTTTTAATCCGACAGAAGTTGAACCACATCAGTGACACAAGAGCTGTAGTTTTATCTTCGCTTAGTTTATGCAAATTAGCGATGCGGTTTTAAGTTTTGTTTCTGTGAGAGTTGCACAAAACTGAATTAAACACATTATAATGTCAAACGGATTGATGTGGCTCTAGAGTCGTTACGGTTTATATGTCGTAAAGTTGAATTTATTTATGCAGATTAATAGTGCAGATAGTAATAATAATGATGATCATTTTAATATAAAAACGTTAATGATTAATCGATTAAGAAAATTTCATCGAATGCCCATCCCTAGTAGCAGTCTGTATTTGGGCTGGAACAGAACCAGACACCCTCCGGTTACTAGGCAAAAGCTTAGCCCACAGCATACAGGTTTCGTTCATATTTTCAGTAATAAACATTTCTTACTACAGGTACTTCCTTTTTCCATATTTTTGTAGGGTTTTGTACATATTTGAACCAATATTTGACAGATGCTTGTGTGTGTCCAGTTCAAGTGCTGCGGTGTGTCCAATAAGACAGACTGGTGGGAAGTCCTGGAGGGGACGCTGCCGGCCTCCTGCTGCTCCATGGACACTGACCCCTGTGTGGACGGATGGACCGAGGTCTCTGCTCGCTCGCTTGTTACACATTTAAAAGTCCTATATGTCACAAAATGAATTCTTGTGAGCTTTAAACTGTGTTATAATGTTATCTCATCAAATTCAGACCTGGAGTTGTGTTTTGTTTCATTCACACGTGTTTGAGTAACACTTTGTTATTAGTCTGTCTACATCTCCAAAGCTGAAAATGCTCTGTTCCACTTTGTGATGTCATTTTTCAATTTCCTTTTACCTTTAGTTCAGTAGAGATCGGCAATTCCACGACTGAAATCATCTAAATGATTCTAATGAAGGTGAATGGAGTTTAAAAACACAGTGGAGCACTTCCTGTATTGCCACATGAGATCACAAGTTGGAATAGAGTGTTTTCTGTTTGTGGGAAGAACTCAGTCTAAATATGCAGGGTTTGTGTGTTAAACATGTTTGAATGAAACAAAACACAAGTCCAGGTGTGTTTGTGACGAGGAAACGACATTAGAACAGAGATCAGAAACAAAAATAATAAAATGGGTCTTTTAACTAGATTTTTCAGGATGATTTCACTCTCACTAAAAGTCAGTCAGTTATTGCTCCTGTGAGGTTATACCATTCTCAAGTGCTCATAGTTTAAAGTGCATATGGGTCCGGTCAAGTGGTAACTGAAGGAAACGGGCAGATTTTTGACATTCAAATGTCTCTTATTCAAAACTAGAGGTATTGAAATAAGTAAATCAGAATGTGTATACTCCAACAGTGAAGTTAAACCTGTGATATTCTTCAATTTCAAGTTGTTGAACAAACTTTTTGGTAAATTATGAATATTTTGGGCTTCCATATAGTTTTTTAATACCAATAATGGTTTTCTACAAGATTAGGTTGAAAAACCTCTTACTTTTTGAGTCATGAGATTTTTTTATTAAGAAAGGTCATGGTAACGGAGGGAAAAGTAACAGAGGGAAAATTGTGCAAACAAGTAGAAGGTGCAGGATTTTACATCATTTGTCAACTTTTTCTTCCTTTGAATACTTTTAAATATTACTATCTATGAAAGGAAACTATTTCTTATATCAGTTTCTAAAATTTTTATCATTTTTTTTTTTTTGAAAAATCATGTCCCTTCATCAACAGTTCAAAGATGGAATAACACAAGATATGATGAAATACATCCATTTATTTACATGATTTGCAGGTCTTTGAAATTTGGGAAATAATTTTTGTTCCATGTTTCATACATGGTCTGTTTAAAACATATGTAACTTTAGAACCAAAAATGGCACAGAAAAAAGGTAAACAGTTTCATAAACTAGAGTACATATGTATCTGTTCAATACATTTTTATATCAGATGCATTAACTTGAATTTTTGGCCTTGCTGTTTACTTCTGCTTGACCGGGCCCATATAACAGTCTCATTATTAGATTTCAGAATTTACTACAAATTGTGCCTATTTTCTTCAGATTATCAAACTTTGGTGAAGTTTTTGTAGAGGTAATTCTTGTCTGACTTACACAATAGTTATGATTAGACTAATACAAACACATTACAACAGCTTTCTTTAGTTAAATGAAGGTTTAAACTGAGAGGCATTCTGTTTTATGCTACTTCCTTCCTTAACTGATATAAAACGATGATACATATTGTTGTTTTTGGTAAGGATAAAGGTAACACGCTGATCTATTTGTTATGTGTTAGCGGTTAATCCCCCATAGTCAAATACCTCTCTTTAAGGTAGTGTTTGAGTTTCAGAGGAGTGCAAATACTTGTTTCCATCATAAAGTGTAATTATTGAACTTAGCTCAAATGAGAGGGTAGACCCAATGAGAGACCCACGTGAGGCTCACTCTGCTTTCTGATTGGATAAAAAACGTGGGAAGCAAAACACCAAAACAAACAACTTAGCTACAAGTTGTAATTAAGAATAAAGCAGAATTGTAATGGCTCGGAGTAAAAGGTACACAGACAGGTGTATTTGAAATAGTACATCAGTTGTATACTTTATTACTAATTCTACACTACTATAACTCATAGTGGAGCCAAACGCCTAAACTCCGCCCACAAACACATTCCACATGTCCTGGAACTGATATTCAATCCATCAAAATGTTCAGTATGAGCCCCAGTGTCTGATACAGCTACTAAACATTGAACATTTGAAAGTGAAAGTGACTCTGTCTCTGTCTCTGTCCCTGTGATGCGCTCAGCCCTGTTACCAAAAGGCACGCCAGTGGCTCCTGGACAACATCCCCTCTGTGCTGGTGTTTGGTCTGTGCATCGGAGTGGTGCAGGTGAGACACACACACACACATACAGAAACACACACACATTACTCAGTTTGGTCACACTTTGGGACCAGTGTTGGGAGTAAAGTTATAAAAGTAACGAATTACAGTAATGCATTGCTTTTTGCTGTAACACAGTAATGTTCAGCATTACAGGGAAAAAAATTTTAATATTTTACTAATGTGAGTAACGCGCGTTACAATGCTTTTTTTACTTGGTTTGAAGTGGTGGGTTTTTCTTCATAGAAATTTGCTAAAATCACCGCATATCAGCAGCGGTGAAACGCCGGAGACACAGCCGCGTAGACGTGAGGTAACCACGGGCGAAAGGACCATGAACTCTACTACGCTGTTTAGACCTCGTTTAGACCTGGGTCACTTCTGGTTTAGACCTGGTTTAGTTCTGGTTTTAGTCCTGGTTTAGTCCGTGTTTAGTCCTGGTTTAGTTTTGTTTAGAGTCCTGGTTTAGTTCTGGTTTAGTTTAGTCTGGTTTAGTCTAGTTTAGTCAGTTTAGGTTAGTCCTCCTCTTCAGTCCTGGAATCAGTCCGAGATTAGTCCTGTTATTTTCCTGGTTCAGTCCTGGTTCAGCTGTGCTTTAGTCCTGGTTCAGTCCACATACGGTGCAAAAGTTCAGCATCTTCACAGTTATTTTGGTGAGAGTAACTTGAAGTAATGCAATAATAATGTAATGTCTTACATTTAAATGCAGTAATATTGTAATGTAATGAATTACTTTGAAATGACAGTAATAAGTCATAAATAACTAGTGTTGGGGAGTAACAGATTACATGTACTGGAGTACATGTACATAATCAGAGTACAAATTATGAGTAACTGTATTCAGTTACAGTTACTGTTTCAATGAGTGGTAATTGGATTACAGTTACTTTGTTGAAATATATGGATTACATGGTGGTATTTTCCTGTTTTCACATTTTGGGCTAAACCAGGACTAAAACCAGGACTAAACCAGGTCTAAACCAGGACTAAACCAGGACTAAACCAGGACTAACCCAGCTCTAAACCAGGCTTTTCATTTTAGGTGAAGATATCCGAGTCTTTGCTTCTCTACAGCAAATCAAGTAATCCAAAGTATTCAGATTACATTACTCACTTTAAGTAATTTAATAGATTACGTTACAAACTACATTCTGGGGTATGTAATCTGTAATCTGTAGGGATTACATTTTAAAAGTCACCTTCCCAACACTGTAAATAACACATTACAGTTTTGAAGTAACTTGCCCAACAGTGATTGGGACACACACACAGCTCTTTTTCGTTTCTCCTTTTCATTTATTCAAACGTTCATCAAACTGGAGTTGCTGTCATATATGTTCAGAGACTGTGTGTGCTGTTGACGGGCTTGTTTGCAGTATGGTCCACTGCCGAGGTATTGAAACACTTATCTAAACATCTGCAGGAAGGAAAATTAACTTCACACATATCTTCAAACAAGACAAAACTAGATACAGATATTTTAGCAGAACTATTTTTAGAGAGCGGTCTGAATGCAGGTGAGACAATGCAACACACAGCACAGTCAAAAGTACAGATAGATATTCAAGGTTCTATATGCCTCAAAACTGACTTTTGTGAGCTCTAAGTCTTGTTCTAATGCTGTTAGCTCCTCAGAAACATACCTGGAGTTTTGTTTTGTTTCATTCCCACGTGTTTGGAGTGTTTACTGTTTGAGAGAAGAACTCAGTCTAAATGTGCAGGATTTGTGTGTTAAACATGTGAATAAAACAAAACACAACTCCAGTTGTGTTTGTGATGAGGAAACTACATTAGAATAGAGATCAGAAAATAGAGTCATATAGGCTCTTTAAACCAAATTAAAACTAGAATCAAAACAGACAAAGATGACAAAATGTAAGAAAATCACAGGTTTATTTATTTGGCAACATGAGGAGGTGCAGACTCACTGTGTACTAGGCCTGTCACCATAACAAAAGCTGAAGGTTGATACATCTCTAAACAGAAATATTATGCAAAATGATATTATTGAAACTCCTTTGTGCCACTGACACAAAGCAGGGTCATTCCAGCAAACACATTTTTAAACATCCTATATTATGTAAAAAGACATGTTCTAATGCTGTTCCCTCCTCAAAAACACACCTGGAGTTGTGTTTTGTTTTATTCACTCACATTTTTATTCTACATCTCTAAAGCTCCAAATGCTCTGTTCCACCTTGTGATGTCATGAAGTGGTAGTTTTCAAGTGAACAGCTCCTTTTACAGTTAGTTCAGTAGAGATTGACAATTCCAGGGCTGAAATGATCCAAATGATTCGAGTGAAGGTGTATGGAGTTTAAAAACACAGTGGAGCACTTCCTGTATTACCACATGACATCACAGGAAAACACAACAGGGTGTTTTCTGTTTGAGAGAAAAACTCAGTCTAAATGTGCAGGGTTTGTGTGTTAAACATGTGTGAATGAAACAAAACACAACTCCAGGTGTGTAACAGTCAGATCAGAAAATTGCCTAATATTACTCATATTAGGCTCTTGTAATATAGATTCCTCCTCCTTCAGAAGCTATGAGCTAGAGCAAATACACAACAAAATAAGAAAATAATTAACAATAGAGGTTATTTATTCTGTCCTCTACAGGTCAAATCTTACTTTATTACATAAAAATGGCAAAAAAAAACCAAAAAAAAAACCTCCTCATTATTACAAAGAAACTGTACACACAATTTAAAAACTGGAGCTCAAAAGGTAGTTATAGTTCTTCTGGTACTAGACATTGTTCTGGTGCCAGGTCTTCTGCTCTCAGACACATTCAGATCAGAGAGTACATCCAGTCCTATACACAGCAGTACACTTCATCCACAGTAGACATGTTAACCACAGAACACAGGGCTGCACAAAATATCACTTAAACACCAATACTGCAATATCTCATTGTGACAGAAGTTTGCTGTATTCTGAAAGTAAAATGTAAAAAGAAAAGGTTTAAAGCGAGTTATATTATTTGTTTTTTTGTTTAGTCTTTGTTAAGTCCATGTACATGTGTCTCTGTAACTCTGTAACTAATGTTTCACTTACTGGCCATGGAGACAAGTAGGCGATGCCAGCAGGCCAGGTTATAGGTCAGATCTGTGGAGAGGCAACCCTGCTCACAGTAATAAATATGTATTATTTTAGAAAAACGTAATTCAGTTATGATAAGATCTCCATGGAGACGAGCAGCACACTAGAAAAAGGCCAAAATGCACTGAAAATAGTGTGTCAAAAGTGTAGTAAATATTAGTTGTACAGTATCGTCCTAGAAACAAAAGGTGCACAATAGCACACGTCCCTCACACATGTCCCTCACACATGTCCCTCACACACGTCCCTCGCACATGTCCCTCACACATGTCCCTCCCAAGTGTAACCATGTCTTTGTCTTTTGCAGATCATGGCTCTGGTCTTCTCCATGCTCATGTACTGCCAGATCCGCTATGCCCAGAGAATGGATATATAAATGGACATAGCTGACGCTGCCACGTTCCAAACAGGAAGTGAGCATGGGTGCACTTCTGGCTCCATCAACTCTGGCTCCAGTTCCCTCTCTCTATAACAGCTGCTGTCAGACTTGTCATTTTTGTCTTAAAATGTTCGTATTAACCGTTCTACATGATTCCTGGTGTTTCACTTTGTTGCCCCTGAATCAGGATATAAACATTCATATCAGACTCATCGGGCGGCTGTTTTCTCCGTGATCGATCCCGTTAGTGTTAGTAACAGCTCTGATTGACAGCGTTGCTTAGCTTCCTGCCAATCCAGCAGTACGAGCAGGAAGGGGTGTTACCTTCAACAGCCTCACTCCTGATTGGCCTTTTGGTTGCTATGATACTCAAGATCAGAATTCCAAATATGGAACTCAACTCCAAATTCGCCCCTATAACTGCAAGCCTTGATGAGCTTCATTTGGCTGAAGACAAACGTCGTGGGTGATGTCACACACCTTTAGACTACTTAGTATAGTCTACGGCTGTGCCAAGAAGGACCTGGACTAACCCTGGACCCAATCCGGACTTCACGTGGACCTGTCTGGACTACAGAGCTCCGCACCATCACTCACAGACACAAATGTTTCCTGAGCACTCAGTGGAAAGTCATAGATACACAGTATAATCAAAGTATAAAATCATAATTATAACATTACAAAGATTCCACTGAACATTTCCCATAAAGTGTTTTTTCAGTGCAGCTACAGCATTGGATGAAAGAACAGAACTGAAGTCTCATCCTGGTTCTTTGGGTAAACCTTTCCTCTGTCCATGTAAATATGTAAATGTACTTTATATGAACCTGTGTTTTCAATAAAGGCTCCAGTACATGAGTGTATGGTACAAACATTTAAACAAACATTCAAGTTTAAGGTGCATTGTACTGTCTGCTACATTTGGCATGTCCTACAGTAGTGTGCCTGGGTTATCTGTCAGGAGCAGCCCCCAGGGAGTACCTCGCTGAAGGACTGTTGTGAGCTTTAAGCAATATTATAATGTTGTTCCCTCCTCAAAAACAGACCTGGAGTTGTGTTTTGTTTCATTCACACATGTTTGAGTAATCCTTTATTAGGCCCGAGCGCCAGAGGCTGGCGAAGGGCCTATTAGTATCGCAAAGCGATGCTCCGAGTGGCCAAAAAATGAAATGGCACAATGTGATTTGCCCGTAGTGACCAGGGACCCTCGCCATCACGTAGCAATGCACCAGAGGTTTCCGAAAATGTATAGTTTGTCAGCCAAAAAAAGGCGGAACATTGTTCTCGTATCGGTTGGTTATTCTCCTAACCAACTCACCCATTTTTCACCCACTGAACAATGACGAAAAGTCCTGACATTTTGCCATCTGGTAAAATTCGCGCTTCTCTAACTTTTGGCTATTTTCATGTGAAAATTATTCATTTGGCGCATTAGCGCCCCCTATAGATTGAAACAAAATTTAATATGTGAGAAAATCATTTGTTTCCAAATAGTTGTTCAAAAGTTTCTGAAATTTGGCACAAAATTCCATTTTGGCATCCTGATCAAAAAGTCAGTGACACCCATGTCATATTTTTTATGGCGTTGCCATAGCGATGACATGAACTCTCCATTGGTAAAATCTACAAATTCTGGCACAAACTTTGGCCGATTTCATTCAAATTTTAATCGCGGGTTCACACCCCGACCCTGAACAGATTTATATAAGAAAATCTCAGATGTTTGCAATAGCGCCTCCTAGGGAAATTGCACGGTAGTGCCAAAATTTACTTTGTCGTAGACATATAAAATTTGGTGCACAGATTCATGACATGGTCTCGATCAAAAAAGTCTAGGACGACCCCATGCCATTTCCCCATCGTGTTGCCATGGTGACAGGCTAAACGTCTGACCTCGCCAATAGGACGCCCAACAAAAACTTTGGCGTAGCTAAACCAAATTTGGTACACAGATGCATCATGGCAATAGGAACAAAAAAGTATATTACGTGGTTGCTAGGCAACCAACAGGAAGTCGGCCATATTGGATTGATCGGGCGACATGGCGACGAAGGCACAAATTCCTGTCCTCATATTTGAACGAACTCGTCCTCGGGCGTTTGACCCAGATTCACCAGAATCATTCTGTATCATCTAGACAAGTGTGACATTAAAATTTGTTAAAAGCGTTTTAAAAGGTCAAACGGTGTTGCCGTGGCAACGGTGCAAATTTCGGGTTTGTTTTTGGGGCTCACCATCAAACTTCGACGCCTGATAATTTGCACAAACTTTGGCTGATTTCACTCAATTTTTAATCGTGGGTTCACACCTCGACCCTGAACAGATTGATGTAAGAAAATACAAAAATGGGTGCAATAGCGCCCCCTAGAAAATTTGTATGTAAAAATAAAGTTTTATTTGTCACAGATATACAACATTTGGCACCCACATTTGTGACATGGTCTCGATTAAAAAACTCAATGATGCTCACACCCCATTTACATTGTGTTGCCATGGCAACAAGCCAAAATTGTATCCTTGCCAATGGGACGTCCTGACACAAACGTTGGCGTAGCCAAACCAAATTTGGTATCCAGATGCATCATGGCAATAAGAACAAAAATGTATATTGTGACCATGCCCCTTTACAAACCGGAAGTCTGCCATCTTGGATATTTTCTTTTGCCAAATTTTGAAAATTGCAGGGTTAAATTAAGATTTATAGGGCTAGGGTTGGGGCTATGGTTAGGATTACGATTAGGGTAAGGTTTAAGCTTAGGGTTATTACGGTCAGTGTGAGGTGTGGCGTTTGCGGGGCACAGCGTTTGCGGGCTGCGGCGTTTGCGGGCTGCGGCGCAAGCACCGATCATTGCCGCTTGCGGCTATATTTATCCTTTATTATTAGTCTGTCTACATCTCCAAAGCTCAAAATGGTCTTTTCAACCTTGTGATGTCATGAAGTGGTAGTTTTCGTGGTAACAGCTCCTTTTACCTTTAGTAGAAGAGTAGAGTTTGGTAATTCCAAGGGTGAAATCATCCAAATGAATCTACTGAAGGTGTATGTGGTTTAAAAACACAGTGGAGCACATCTTGCATTACCACATGACATCACAGGGTGAAACAGTAGAACTCAGCCTAAACCTGCAGGATTTCTGTGTTAAACATGTGAGAATGAAAAAGCACAAGTCCAGGTCTGTTTGTGAAGAGAAAACAACATTAGAACACAGATCAGAAAATAAGGTCATCTAGGATGTGTAGTGGAATATCCAATAGAGAATATCATGTACTAGCAGCTCGAGTTTGTTTTTCGACAGTAAACAGTAACATCACGTGTGTCAGACATCATTGTACTGTACTTTACACAGTACTATCTCCCCGCAGTAAAACTAATAAATAAAGTCTTTTACAGTAACATCATGTGCACAGTAAAAGTGTTGTAGGCAGACAGCAGCCTGAGAGAGTCACTGTGTGAAACACCTGTAAACAGACTGCACTATACAATACTTCTGTTTAAAAAACAAATCCAAAAAGTGTATAATACTTTCATATTGTTCATCGGCGTGTCTTCTTATAGTTCACACAGACTTCAGAGCTCCAGTGTGCGCTCTGCTCCTGTGAGGGTCAGTCAAACTCATCCTCCAGGTCCACCACGTTCTCCTGTGACAACAACAGCACCGTCACTTCCTGTTTCATCACCGTTACACACACACACACACATATATACACACACACACACACATATATACACACACACACACACACTCTGTGTTTCATCACAAACATGTTGGCCCTGTAATCACAATCACACCAGTCTGTGTTTCACACTTTGCGCACTTTGAGCATATGTGTGAAACACATATGCTCAAAGCATATCCTCTGTGCACATATGCACATATATGCACAGAGTTTGGATGTGGCATGTGAGTGCTGTTGGGGGTGGTAATGGGAGTGGCCAATGATGCAGATTTGCAGCCTCACTTGTGTCAGTCTGCCCCAGGGCAGCTGTGGCTACAATAGTAGTTAACCATCACAAAACGGGAAGTGAATGAATAATGCTGTAAAGTGCTTTGGGTGTCTTGAAAAGTACTCGATAAATCCAATGATTCATTAGCAAATGTATTCACATACACATCCATACACAAAGTCCACTATATTCTGTATGATTTTCTCTGCTTATAGACCACAGTCTGAGTTATTTTAGTACTACCATAATCTCATAATTGTAATACTCATATAATTTGACAAATTTGCATAATTGGTAGGAGTGGTCACATGAGCACCCATAACAGACCAGCTGCTCCCCCTCTCTCTCTCTCTCTCTCTCTCTCATATATATATATATATATATATATATATATATATGATAATGATGTGATAATATATATAATATATATATATTTATATATATTACATATATGTACACACAATACTACTACTATACTATATTGCCCTATAAGTGCATCTGGCTGGAGTCTATATAAAGTTCTTCTAAATATACTGTGTGCACAGATAGGCCGTGTGTACTGCTCCTTATACGTTTAAATTCCTGCTGTCTCATGTGAACAGTGTCTCTGTGTCCTGTTTTGTCTCCTCTCCATCTGCCAGAGGGAACAAGAGAGAAGGTCACGTGACACTTTCATGGTCTCTGATTGGTTCACTGTAAAAAAGACTCCATGTCTACATGAGTTTGAATGGCTTGAATTCAGAATACTGGTCAAAGTACTGCAGAGGTGGTCAAAGTACTGCAGATGTGGCCAAAGTACTGCAGAGGTGGTCAAAGTAATGCATTTGATTACCTGAGTTAAAGTAAAGATACACTTGGTCAAACATTATTCCAATACAAGTAAAAGTACTGTCAAATGATTTCTTAATTTAAAACAGTGTTTTTGTTAGAAATCACTTAAGTACTGAAAGTACTTTTAACAAATCATGTAGTTAATGATGACTGTGGGCCGCTGAGCCCAGCCTGTACAAGTGTCGTGAGAGATTATTAGATTAGAAAGACATGTTTGGCTCGAATGGGTTCATTGCAAACAGGAATTCAATGAGCCTACACTTTACTATCTCCTAAAATAATAAGCAAACCCAAAGCTTGTTAGACCTGCAGATACTGTCAAACGAGCCTTAAAACAGTTTAAAGCCAAGTCACAACTAATCAGAGACATTGCACCCTCAACCTGTACAGGAGCAAGCACTACATGTGGACTGTCTGGACTGAGCGTGGGGAGGCTTTAAATGGACAAAAAGACTTGGAAACCTCCTCCATCAAAATACTTTGTACTTTTGTGAAGTGAAAAGTATTATATTTGTCTTTCAAATGGAGTGACTCTAAGTAATAAGTACTCAACTAACACAACGGAGTACATATCCTCCAAACCTGTACAGTACTTAAGTAAGTGTACTTAGTTACTGATCACTTCTGCTTATGTCAGTCTTGATTAAAGTATATTTAAAGTTACCAGAGTTGAAATTTTAGACCAGTTTGAAGAACTGTTTCAATAGTATTACGTACATGTTTTTATTTGCCTAGTGACGTGCTCTTTCTGCACACACGGCCCTCCTGTGTACATGCATGCAACTGTTCCAGTAGCACAGCACATTAAACCTAGAGAGTTCTGTATCTGAGCTAACAGACGTCCATACCCATCCTCCCTGACGCTTGACCCAGGGGGCGAAGTTCTCCATGTAGCACTCGGCATAGCCCTGCAAGCGCTGGGTCCCCGTTGCTGTGACGATGTGGCGGGACACCTCCATGGAGATGGCGATGCGGCGCAGGGTGGGGCTAGCGTCAGGGGGCGGGGCCGGCACCTCACATACCCTGGGGTCATTGATGACGGCGTCCTGGAGGCGGGCGAAGGATCCGTAGGACAGACGGGACAGGCCGGCACGCAGGAACGGGTCCGACTCAATCTGAGACACAAACAAGGACTGGTCACATGGGATACATACAGTCCTCTTATTGGTCAGCCTTCGTCATGCTCTGAGTGATTGACAGGAGGGTTTAACCAATCACACTGTAGCGTAAACTCAGAAGGACATACTGTAGTACCATGAAAGGCAATAAATCAATAAATGTGACAAAGAAAAAGGTGAAATTCACTGCCAGTCAAAAGTCTGGACACACACACTCATTCAATGTTTTGTTTTTTTTTCTTTATGTTTACTACTTCATATACATACAAATATATGATGTAAGATATATTGAATAATGTAGTAAAGACTCAACTAAATATTTGTCATAACTAACTGAAATTCCTCAGAGTATCCACCCTTTGCTTTGTGGACAGAGCTGCAAACCCTTGTCCTTCTCTCAGTGAGCTTCATGATCAAGTTCCTGCAATAGTTTTCCAATAGTTTTTACTTCACAGCTGTGGAAAGAAATGCCAAAAGACCAAACCAGGGTTCAGGGATCAAAGCAAAGGTACATACACACATCCATGCAGGACATGTACGACTCAGCAAAAATGTCACTTTTATTTTTGTGTTATTTAAATGGGAAAAATCACACTGAGCTTAAACTACCTTTAGTTGAAGAGAGAAATCCATGTCTTGATTGATTGATTGATTGATTGATTGATTGCATTTATATAGCGCCTTTCAAGATACCCAAAGCGCTTTACAGTTCATTATTCAGTCACTCCACACTCAGTGGTGGTTAGCTACTACTGTAGCCACAGCTGCCCTGGGGCAGACTGACGGAAGAGAGGCTGCCAATCTGCGCAGGACACAATGACAGTTTTTTGCCACTGGCATCCCACTGTGGCACCTGGAATTCCTAGCAGTCTCCCATCCAAGTACTACCCAGGCCCAGCCTGCTTAGCTTCTGAGATCTGACGGGATCAGGCTTTTACAAGCCAGTATGTCTTATGTTCTCTTACATTTTGTCCACCAGAGGGAGCCAGACCCTCAGCTTCCATCCTCATGTCTGCTTCATGCTTCACAAGTCCACATGTGTTGACATGACACATGTGAGTTATTTCATTTGTTTTCCTTACTACATAATTCCATATATCTATATCATATGTTTGATGTCTCCTTGTGCACTTTGGTCTTGTCAACATTCAGGAGCAGATGGTTTGCCATTTGGGACAAACCATCTGCTCCTGAACATTGACAAGACCAAAGAACTGGTGATGAGTTCAGGAGGAAGAGGACACCAGTGGACCTCGTCACCCTCCAGGGCCATGTGGTGGAAATAGTGACTGATACAAGAGCCTTGGTGTCCAGGTGAACAACAGACTGGACTGGAGGGACAACTGTAACGCTGTGTGAAAGAAGAGCAGGACTAGACTCTACTTCATGAGAAAGCTCAGCTCTTTCATTGTGTACTGCAAGTTCCTGGAAATCTTCTCCCAGTCTGTGGAGACCCCTGGACTTGGCTGTGGTCTGCTGGGGGAGCAGCTCCAGGGAAAGACAAACTGATGTGTAAAGCTGCTCACATGATCCACTGTGAGCTAGAGACATTTGTCACACACGAGGACACTGGACAAACTGCTCTCCATCATGGACCAGACTATAGAGGGACAAATAATACTCCCTACAACTGTACAGCAACTCACCCAGTACACCAGACTATAGAGGGACAGATAATACTCCCTACACCTGTACAACAACTCACTTTTATGTAACAGATAATACTCCCTCCTAACCCTTATGTAAGAGATAACCCTGTGTCCTGTCAATCATCATATCTTTGTTGTCTTCCTGTGACCTCTTAGCTGAGATTTTATATTTTATTACTTATTTTTCAGTTTTATTTTGACTTTGACATTTACATTTAGAATGATGTCTTATTTGACACCTGTCACTTGCTCCTTTTTGCTTATTTAGAATTTTTATTACATTTATATTTTTTTCTCTTTGTTATTATATTATATTTTATTGTGATGTGTGACTCCTGTGTCCAAATCTTTTCCCTTGTGGATCAATAAAGTTTTCTAAGTCTAAATCTAAGTCTATGTATATTCATATCCAAACTTGTGTATGATAAGAATTCAGTTTGACAGCAGAACAAAAATAACTTTGAGGAAATTACTGATTCTTTGGTATTTAATTAAGTGTGGCTCTACCTGCTCGTCCAGGATCTATCGCGTTTGATCTTTGAAGCTGCGCAGGGTTGGGCCTGGTTAGTATTTGCATTGGACACTGCTGGGAATTCCTTACCTGTCCAGCCAAAACCACACGCTTTGACAAAACTGTACAAAGTTCCGACAACATTTGACAAAGAATATGATACAAATCAACGCCTGTGGTTGGACCATGTTAGGATGAAGGTTTTTCGTCCGCTATGGTGTGAGTCCAGACCCTTTCAAACAGAATGCAGAAAGGACTGGCTGCTCAGGCAAAGGGACACCAGAGCTACAACAGAATCTTCCCACTAGTGAGTGTGCAATGAATGATGCTCTGGAAAGTCTCTTGAAAGCCACTACACACATTCAGTGTATTATCCAACTGAAATCTATTTTCAACCTTTTTTTTTTTTAATCCCCAAATCCATTTACACACTCCGGTCTATGATATAGTTTTTTCTCTTTTTAAACTCCATAGACCTTCACTAAAATGACTGAAATCATTTCAGTAATTGCCAATCTCCACTGAAGAAAAGGTAAAAACAGAGCATTTGGAGCTTTGGAGATGTAGACAGACTAATAATAAAGAGTTACTCAAATATGTGTGAATGAAACAAAACACATCTCCAGGTGTGTTTTTGAGGTTTTTGAGGAGGAAACAGTAATAGAACATGACTTAGAGCTCACAGGAGTTCGTGGTCATGATTACTATGATGAAGTGTGGTTGGTGCAAACACATATTTTTTCCTCTTATTGGCTCCGGTCATGGAGCCATGGAGTCATGTAGCACTGTACACAGTGTATCGATGTTATACATGTACTACTGTGCTTTTTCATGAGCAAATAGAATGTACAAAAAAAGACAAAATTGTAGAACCTTATTGTTGATGGCGTCTCCCTCCAGAGTGAGGAGTTCCACCAGCCTCTGCACCATCTTGTCTTTGTCGTACACTGAAACACACCAAACACCTTCTGATTCACAAACACACACACCAGGTTTAAACGTGTTACAGTGCTGACCTAACACTGCTGTAAATGGTTTGTGTATGTCCTTCAGTGGATGTGCACAGCTGTCATGACACTTGTTCAACTGTCTCCTGAGATCATTTTTCAGTGAGTAGTGGAGCATCCTCTACAGTCTAACACAAACACTACCTCCTCTCATCATTTGTTGGTAAGTATCCTCTGATACTTACCAACAAATGATGATGATTCTGTGTTGACTGTGTCTTTGTAGTGTATACAATAATGAGAACTATTAGCAGAGGGTAAAACTGATACCATTTCTCTGCTTACTGTGGTGGAATTAAGATTTTTAAAATTCATACACTGTTTTCACTGAGAAGTCTTCCACAGCCACTTAAAGTGGTAAAAAATCAAACACACACACACACACACACACACACGCATGTTCTTCAGCCTGATCATTAAGAACTCTTGTGTGTGAAAGAGATTAACGCTCTGTGGATGACAGTCGTCCATATGACTTTTAGTGAGAGTCATTCGAGACTGAAAATGTGTAGAATTCAATTCAAAGTGCTACACATCAGTCCGATGGAATATGATGTAATAAGAATGATAGAATGATGATTTTCTTTAAGAGAAAGGTCAGACCAAGCCCCAGTGCGTGGAGCTGTGGTGTGGTGCATACCTGGAGACGGCACTCTTGGAGGGGGGCTGGGGTGACGTATGTGGGGTTTGGGGTATGTCCTCCTGATGCTGGAGCTCCTGTACGCAATCTGCTCCAGACGCTCAGCTACCTCCTCGTAGAACTCCGGAGGATGGCCTGCACACACACAAAGTCCTGGGAGTGACCACAGAGCTGAGAGGAACATCTACACCTGCACTGTGAGGGTCTTACTGGGGGAGATGATCACTGGGGCGGTCTCTGGGTTCACAGGGGGGCCCAGAGGCAGGGTGCTGGGCCGGGTAGGGGGAGGAGGAGGAGGAGGAGAGGATGGCTCCTTCTCTTTGTCCTTCTGCTTCTCCTTCTCTTTGTCCTTCTGCTTCTCCTTCTCTTTGTCCTTCTCTTTGTAATTCTCTTTGTCCTTCTGCTTGTCCTTCTCTTTGTCTTTCTCCTTGTCCAGTCTCTTCTTGAAAAACTTGGACAGTTGCTGTTTGATCTTCTTTGTGTTCAGCTTCTTCTTCTTCTCGGAGTCTTCTTCATCTGATGAGAGCTGAGGAGAGACCAGCTCATCCTGGAAGACAGGAGCAACCTTTACTAATACAGCCATCATTCATACACCATCCAATAAAAAAAAAAAAGAAAAGATCTGAGCCTGGATCGTGGTCAGGAGTCCTGGCTGGAGTTCGAGCTCACCTCGGGCTCCCTCTGCTGGGTGCGTTTGGCTCGGGGGGAGCGGCTGCTCCGTTGTGGCAGTTTGATGAAACCCATGAAACCGTTCTTCCTCTCATCTCCTGAGCTGAGATCCTCGTTCTGAGAGTCCCAGCCCTCCCTGTCTTTAGAACAGTATCTGTGATGGAGGGACACAACACTGAGCAATGTGACAGTATCATGTAGTTTTCAGTTTCATTACAATCTGTTTGTGTGTGATCACTATGTGTTTGTTTGTTTTAACACTTCCCCCTGCTCTTCTCCCTGTACACAAACTGCTGTTCCTCCACTCAGCACTCCGCTCATCTCAGATCAATCACATCACTACTTTGAGATTTGCGCAGAAGCCAAAGGTGAAGCCCAAATGAAGCAAAACAAACTATTATTATTTGAGTCTATTTTAGAGTTAATACAGACTATTTAATTTGAGGAAAACATGCACAAGAGAAGAGCTTTGTGCATTTGTGGACAGGAAAGATGTCTGTGCTTTTCTCTCAACTGAATGCAACAAGAATGTGATTTTTCGACCAATAAGATTCAAATAATCATCTTGATGCTTCACTTTCTCCAAACACTTTCAGTGAGAGCTGCTCCAGACTGATAATGTGTAGAACTCTGGTCAGAGTCACACACTCATCAGTGTGAAGTGAGACAGGTTAACTGACACGGACAATAAAACGCTTCTGATTCTGTGCTCGCCTCTGTGTCCTCGTTTTCCTCTCTGATTGGTCACTTGTCCCCCTGGTCCTCTCTGATAGGTTGCCTGTCCCCACTCTGGTCTCTGATTGGTCACCTTAGTTACCTGTGCTTGTTGTGGTTGCGGTAGGCTCCTCCCACCCTGCCGGGGCGCTCTGTCAGGGGGATGTTGGCGGTGCGGTGCAGAAAAGCCTGAAGCACCAGTCGGGTCTCGGCCTTGACCTCCAGCATGGACACGGAGGAGACGGACGACGTGGAGGAGGAGGAGGGGAGGCGGCCCCCATTCTCCATGGCAACACTGCACACACAAATGCATGCGCACACACACACGCACGCACACACACATGCACGCACGCACACACTGGAGTGAGCGTCCTTCAGGGTCTCATGAGCACTGGGACCATCTCCACATCCTGAGCTGCTCTTGGCCACAACGACCTGAGCTGGACCTTTGACCTGCTCTGGGCTGATGGAGGAAACTGGAGTGCCCAGCGCAGGGAGAACATGCAAACTCCACGCACACAGGGAGAACATGGATACTCCTCACAGACACAGGGAGAACATACAGACTCCTCACAGACACAGGGAGAACATGCAGACTCCACACAGACACAGGGAGAACATGCAGACTCCACACAGACACAGGGAGAACACGCAGACTCCACACAGACACAGGGAGAACATGCAAACTCTACACAGACACAGGGAGAACATGCAAACTCACACAGACACAGGGAGAACACGCAGACTCCACACAGACACAGGAGAACACGCAGACTCCACACAGACACAGGGAGAACACACAGACTCCACACAGACACAGGAAGAACATACAGACTCCACACAGACACAGGAAGAACATGCAGACTCCACACAGACACAGGGAGAACATGCAGACTCCACACAGACACAGGGAGAACATGCAAACTCCTCACAGTAAGTCTAGGGTGAAGTGGGGACCCTTCTTGCTGTGAGGTGTGAAGGTCCCTCAGTCACAGGTCAGTTTGGTGTGAAGCTGTCCACAGTGTAGCATTAAATTTATCTCCATAGAGACGAGCAGGTGATGCCACCAGGCTAAACTACAGGTCAGATCTGTGGAGCGGTGACCAGTCATAATAATAATAATAATAATAATAAAAAATCAAATAATAGTTTTTCCACAGTCTGTCACAGGTCTGGCGTCTGTATGTTCTCCCTGTGTCTGTGTAGAGTTTGCATGTTCTCCCTGTGTCTGTGTGGAGTCTGCATGTTCTCCCTGTGTCTGTGTAGAGTTTGCATGTTCTCCCTGTGTCTGTGTAGAGTTTGCATGTTCTCCCTGTGTCTGTGTGGAGTCTGCATGTTCTCCCTGTGTCTGTGTGTAGAGTTTGCATGTTCTCCCTGTGTCTGTGTAGAGTTTGCATGTTCTCCCTGTGTCTGTGTGGAGTCTGCATGTTCTCCCTGTGTCTGTGTGAGTCTGGATGTTCTCCCTGTGTCTGTGTGGAGTCTGCATGTTCTCCCTGTGTCTGTGTAGAGTTTGCATGTTCTCCCTGTGTCTGTGTAGAGTCTGCATGTTCTCCCTGTGTCTGTGTAGAGTATGCATGTTCTACCTGTGTCTGGGTGGCTTTCCTCTGGTCACTCCAGTTTCCTCCATCAGCCCAAAACATGTGCAGCAGGTCAAATGCTCCAGCTAAGACAGTCCTGACCAAGACTAGCAGCATAATCACAGAGGTGGGTCCCGGGCGCCATTGAAGGATGAGTCAGATGCCCTACCCCCCCACCCCTTATATCACTTAGTTTGTTTTTACTTCTGTCGACTTTTAAAAACTCCATCCAGAGTATTTTACAGGATCACTGCACATGTTTTTAACACTTCATATCTTCAATGTGCAAATGTTTGACTGCGTCAATGTGCAAATGTTTGACTGCGTCACATCTCTCTTCACTGTTTCATGTCAGGGTAGATGTGAGTGTTTTCTGTTTGTGCTGTTTTTTCCTGCCTCTTGACCAGCTCGTCTAGTCAGGCTGGCGCCACCTAGTGTCTCTGCTCAATTTAATTTCTCTCTAGTGACTAGGTCAGGAATCAGAATACACAAGACCAGGGGTGGGCAAACTACAGCCCAGGGGCCATGTGCGGCCCTTTAATCCTTTTAATCCGGCCCACCCAACATGAATAATAATAGTAATATTTTTTTGTGTTTTAAAAGTAATTTCAATAAACAGTAAATACCATAAACCAGATATTTTGTTGTAATGCTTGTAATGATTTTCAGTTATGGGGTATTTCAATAACATGTTCACATAATATAACATAATAATAAGTTTTTTTCTCTTATGAGGTTGGTTACCAAAAACTCTATCCATCTGCTCCTAGTCCGGCCCTTCCGTCAAATTTTAGAACCCTTTGTGGCCCACGAGTGAAAAAGTTTGCCCACCCTTGCACTAGACGGTTCGCAAAAACCCCAGAAGTGCGAGTTTGGGCAACAGCCAATCAGCGAAGAGCCAGACATTCTGTGTTGGCAACGATTCCCGAGATCGAGGATTTAAAACCAGAACAAAGAGAATGTTTGGTGAATTTTATCAAGGGGAAATTGTTGTTCCTACGGGATTTGGGAAAAGTTTTATATACCAGTTAGCCCCGTTAGCAGAGCAGCAATTGGTTAAATAAAAAAAGTACTCGCCTACCATCGAGTGAACAAATCCTAATGTTGCGTGTTCAGACGGGTTCTACGAAGTGAAACCGGCTGATGAATCAGACTACAGCTCGTCATTGGGCACAAGAAGTTGTTCTCAATTGACTTACCTGGTAAAATATTGAATAAATAAATAAAATATCTCCAGACTGAGCACTGACTGTCTGGAAAAGTATATTTGAAAGAAAAACTCCAGGTACAGATCCTAAAGCTCACTCTCATATAAGACCACAGTAACAACAGGTTTATAAATGTGAGCATGCACCAGGTTCAGACGGGGACTATTTCTTCTAAAAGCCAAGTACCTAATGACAATATCTTAAATCAAATGAAACACTACTGCTTTTGTTTTGACACAATGTGCACGTAGCCTACAGGCCTACACAACACATCAGAAATCACGGGCTCAAACTTTGAAACGTTTGTTTACGTCTATCATCTGATTTTTTTAAGATAAACCAATAATCATTTTCTGTAGACCACTTTACGCAGCAATACCGATACTCCTGCGGGGCTACATGTGGCTCCTCTCACCTTTGACAAACCACTGCAGCTCTGACGGGAGCGTAGCCCGGAGCCCTAGACTTTTACGCGTGTTTATCTTCTCTGCATGTCTCAGTTCGCTCACAAAGCCGTCCCCAGCGCGTCGTACGTCAGTAGTAAACACTTTCATTTAGTCTGAATGAAGCGGACTGACCGGTGTCTGCCTGCGCCCGCCGCCACCAGGAAATACCTCCACTCCACAAACCGGGACAAAGCGGGACAAAAGAACAAGTTTCCCCGCAGGTGAGCCCCCTCTCCTACCCCCACCCCCCCTCCCCAGCCCCGGCGTGGCAGTGCGCGGAGGCCGGGCACGGCGCGCGCCACGGGACTGAGAAGAGCCCGTACCTTAAACTCCGGTGTGTCGGTGCGCGGTGTCTCGGTGCGCGCACTTCTCCAAGTTTCGGTCGATGCTGCTCCACGGTGAGTTCTGCGTCCGTCTGAGGTTGCGCGCACATAGCCCCGCCCCCTGTGCTGACGTCAACATAGGGAGGAGCGCCCCAGGGCTCTGTTTTGGGACTTCCCCATGAAGGCTGGGTATCATCAAGAAGCTCCCGATACGATACATACCTCGATACAAAGGCCACGATACGATACATACTTCGATTCAAAGGCCACGATACGATACATACTTCGATACAAAGGCCACGATACGATACATACTTCGATACAAAGGCCACGATACGATACATACCTCATTACAGTACACTTTTGATTGATTCAATAAAAAATAGTGTCTAAATCATGGCTGTGTTATTAAAAGTTTTTCTTAAACCACTTCTTGTGCAAAGTTCATATGAAACACAAACATTTAAATCATCAAAACAGTGAAAATATCAAATGTGTCGCATAAATGAGTTTCCTTCATTTAAACAAACAACAAAACTGTAACTGTAACAAAATAATTTAGTAAAATATACAGAAAAATACTCTGGGTGAAATATCAATACTGCAGCCCACGATATTGATACTGTATCATCACATTAAATGATACAATATTTATATTCCCTCGTACTAGACTAACGATGACACTGATCTGGACTAAACTGAAAACCTATTACAAATATATTACAAATATTTAGCCCTTTTTATTCTTGTATTTTATTTTATGTTTTTTGCTTATTTGATGATTCTTTACTTTGGACTTAATAAGATCTGCTGTAAATCTGCACTATAATATGAAGAAAATGAGTTCTATTTTGGTTTGGAGTTCCACAGACTACTGATGACATCACACTTCCCCATGATTTCAACACTGTAAAGGTGTTATTGTGTGTGTGTAAGTGGCCCGGTTTACTACATGCTGGTTGCGTAACAGTTATGGAGTTCCCTGGTGTAATGTCATGATTTACAACTAGGAAGTGGAATTTGAAAAACAAATTTCCCAAATTGTGAAAAATTGTGACACATTCAGTAGGGATGCACTGATCCAGCCTTTTCTCTTCCAATACTGATGTCGATACTTTAATGCTCTGCCGATACCCGATATCACCAACACTAGGGATGAGACGGAAAATACTATTTAATTCTTCTAAAATGATCCAAATGCATAACTGTTATAATAGTAACTAGAGAACAGCTTTGAAAAAATATAAGTTCAGTATCAGGAGAGGATTTGGGTCAGCCCCGGCCTGTGAATGTGATATCGACTGAACTGATATCTTCAAACTGATATTTGATCTACAAAAAATAGTCAATATTGCCACAAATATCCAAAACCAATTTTGTCTCGATGCAGCTTAAGAGTGTTTGGGTAGAATGAGTCCAGCTGGTCATAGAAACTTTAAGCTTCAGTTATTCATTTATCATTTAGTTTATTTTAAGCAATAATGATTTTTTATCCTAATTGACATTATAAAATAGTAAGCACGTTCTATGTAGAACAAGCATCAGCAAGATGCAGAGCTCCTAGAGAAGTATGAGTAATGTTACTTCAAAATAATAGCAGAAGTACACAGTAGTGGCCTAAATTACTCAAGTGGAGAGTAAAAAGTATTTGGGAAAACTGCTCCATTAAGAGTAACTTAATGAGTAACTGTCAGGACGTGACATCTGATTTATAATTTGCAGTTCATGTAATTTGAAGGACAAAACATTCAATGATGAACACAGTCTGGTGTTTTTAAACAACAGACACAAAAATGAGACAAACTAAATCAGATGTGAAGGAGCTGCAAGAAACACAAACGTAAAATAAAGCTTTTGTCACTTTAGACTTACTCTCAGCTTTTACTGCAATAAAAATATGACTCAAGTAAAAGTATGCTGTTAGAAAAGTAATTTTTCCTAAAACTCACTCAGGTAAAATGCAAGTGAGTAAATGTAAGTGAATACTACTATACTATATTACACCTCTGCAAGGACAAATGTTTTTCAAGATTTATATTTAAACCAATATTAACACATTGAACAGAACGATGAGCACAGCACATGTAATGTGTGTATAATGTACTATGTGTATACAGTAATGTGTAATGTATGTAAGTATGTATGTGTTATTAAACTATATACATCTGATATAATGACCAGACATGTCAAACTCAACAAATTTGGCCCACAATATAATTATATTTGACCCACGAGATCATATCAAATCTGTTGATATTATTTTATATTCTGTTTGTTCTGGATTCAGTGTTTAAGCAAAACTATTATTAAAAATTTATTTGAATAAGAAAAGGTTTAACATTACACATGTCGAAAGAAAATAAAACCTGTAGATGTTGTTGAGATTTTTCAATAAATATTTAGTTATTTAGGCCCACAACTTTGTCCCAGTTTTTAATTTTGGCCTCTGTCAGTTTGAGTTTGGCACTCCTGGATTAGACCAATAAAACCTTTTCATGTGGGGAACCTGGGTTTAAATCCTCCTCCTAGAGTCTGTATAATCTAATTTATGTATAAAGTATCTACATGTGTAATATCATGGTTATAGTATAAAAGATGTATACTATAACATGTATAATTATCTGTGTGTAGATTGTGTTCAGCTTAACTGGTAAATCTCCTGACTTTCACATGAAGGATTTGGCTTTAAATCCCCGTCCTCAGGTGTGTATAATGTTTTACAATACATATAAAACTGAAATGAATTAAATTATTCTAGTGGTTTGAACTCAATATTTTAAGTCATAGTAAATGAAAATAATTGAGTTGCATTAACAGAAAACTCAGAGTCATATTAACTACAAATATTTGAGTTGAGCTAAATGAGCCCTTTTAATTCAGATGTTATTAAAAAGTACAAGCAGAAAACATCCGACCTTTATGTTCTGGAACACAGGTGTCAAACATACAGCCCTCCAAGACCTGTAATCTGGCCCTCGGCTGATTTTCTACTAAAATATTTTAATCATATTTTCTATAGAAATATTGGTAATTTTCTGTTCCGCTTAGCATAGCAGTGTCTCCAGCATCTCTGTACGTGGCCCCTCCCACCAGAGCAGCACAAATGAAGACTTGCCTCTTTCCAAACGCTCGTTTTGACTGTTGACCGTGACACTCTCATCAGAAAAATGTCAAAAATGAGAAAAGTGGATGCCGAGTGCAGGATTTTCCAAGAAAAATTTACTTATTCCTATTTGCATACAAGTTCATGTTAAAACATTGTGTTGCAATAGCATTTTTTTTCATAATAATATAATATTTTGTAAAAGAAAGAGTTCATCAATTAAAAACTAATTTCTGTAATAGATTTGTGTTTCTCTGCACAAATATTTGAACTTATTGTTATTTTTGGGGTTTATATGTCATGAGTTTTCTGATCCAGCCCCTTTAGTACCCCTGCTCTAGAAGATTGTGACTTTTCAGTTCATCAGCTTAAAATAAATAATGCAATCACCTGCCTCCATTTTTTTGAGTTCTGTTAACTTATTCAGGTTGAGAGTGCAGCGATAAATCCAAGTGTTCCTTGTGAGAGTTGCGCCCCCTCTGGCCCGCACTGGGACTACAGTCTGGTGTGTTCTGTGGCGCAGCCTCTCCCAAACCCCTCCAGTGTCTCAGCACCAAACACTGGTACAAGGATTGGGAGTGACTGGGCCCAGAGACAGGACTCCACAGCGCCACCACCTGGACATGACAAGAACAGCAGGTCAGATTCATGACACACTGACATCAGCACATGTTCTATGTACGTATTACTACAGAAGAATATTACAGTACACAGCGGTAATAAAACTACTACAGCACTGACAGTTACACAGCCAGGTAGTTACTAATAGTACTTCAAAAGAATATTAGTGAAACTGAAACAAAGCAGTGGCCCAAGAAATTACTCAAGTATTTGGAAAAACTTCTACTCGTGTAAAGTAACTTAAAGAGTAGCTGTTGAAATTTTAAGGACATACATTAAATCAAAATATAAATATAAAGGAGCTGCAAGAAACACAAATGTAAGAATCATTTCAGATTGTCCCATAAAACTTTTGTCACTTTAGAGGGAAGAGGAAACACAACTTTTACTCAAGTAAGAGTACTGTTAAAAGTAAAAGTATACTACTACTACTACTACTACTACTACTACCACTACTACTACAAGATTCTACTAAGGCAAAGAAAAGGTGCACAGGAGTCTGAAAAACTATAGTTGTGTTGAAGCTCACCTCTCCCTCCTGGACTGTTGCTCAGGTCTTCAGCTCAGGTCTCTGGTCTAGATCTGGTTACCAGTTTGGTTCCTCTGGTCTAGTTTTGATCCTCAGATTTGTTTTTTAGGTCTAGTCTATTCTGGAAGTCTGGTCCTTCAGTTTAAGTCTTGGTAATGTCTGGTGTCTCTGGTCTCTGGTCTGGTCTCTGGTCTGGTCTCTGGTCTGGTCTCTGGTCTGGTCTCTGGTCTGGTCTGGTCTTTAGTCTCTGGTCTGGTCTCTGGTCTGGTCTCTGGTCTGGTCTTTAGTCTCTGGTCTGGTCTCTGGTCTCTGGTCTGCTCTGGTCTCTAGTCTTTGGTCTAGTCTGGTCTCTGATCTCTGGTCTCTGGTCTGGTCTCTGGTCTGGTTTCTGGTCTGGTCTCTGGTCTCTGGTCTCTGGTCTCTGGTCTGGTCTCTGGTCTGGTCTCTGGTCTGGTCTTTGGTCTCTGGTCTGGTCTGGTCTCTGGTCTCTGGTCTCTGGTCTCTGGTCTCTGGTCTCTGGTCTCTGGTCTCTGGTCTCTGGTCTCTGGTCTCTGGTCTGGTCTGGTCTGGTCTGGTCTCTGGTCTCTGGTCTCTGGTCTGGTCTGGTCTGGTCTCTGGTCTGGTCTCTGGTCTCTCTGGTCTCTGTCTGGTCTCTGGTCTGGTGTCTGGTCTGGTGTCTGGTCTCTGGTCTCTGGTCTTTGGTCTTTGGTCTTTGGTCTTTGGTCTGGTCTCTGGTCTGGTCTGGTTTCTGGTCTGGTCTCTGGTCTGGTCTTTGGTCTGGTCTGGTCTCTGGTCTGGTCTTTGGTCTGGTCTTTGGTCTGATCTGGTCT